AGGCAGTTTGAGGTTGCAGAAGTGCTGGAAATTTTGTAAAAAGGTTATGGACTTCCGGAGGTGTTTGGATTGAGGTTGAGTGATCTGTTGCATTAAACTCTTTGATTACCAAACCTAGTATAGGAAATGAATGGTGCAACAGCAGCTGCTTCGCATTGCACACATGAAAAAGGTTTCCCTTTTCTGGATTTCTAAGAGATCTAGTGTTTGATAAAGGTAACAAAACCACGATTTTCCTCATCCAAGTAAATTCGTATGTATTTTCTCATCCCTTATATATAGCTTGAGTATCAAATTGCCATGGACGGCCTAACAAGATGTGACAAACATCCATGTCAAGGACGTCACATGTGATTTGATCTTTGTAGCTACTACCAATGGATAGAGGAATCGTACACAAAGTATTCACGAGAGCTTCCCCCCTTTACGAATCCAAATAACCTTGTATGGGGTAGGGTGAGGAGACTTTGAGATTTAATGTTGTAACCAGCTTACTGGAAACAACATTTTCAGTGCTCCCACTGTCGATAATGACATTACAGACCTTCCCACTTATTGTGCATCGTGTTCGAAACAACAAATGCCGCTGCTGGCCAGATTGTGTCTTAGGAGCTAGGAGAATGCGTTCTAAAACGCAAGAGACCTGTTCGCCTTCATTAGGTGCAAGATAGACGACTTCTTCATCGGATTCTTGGTCACAAGAATCATCAAGATCTTGAAAATCCTCTACAAGATTGACTGTTTTACGCTGGGGGCATTCATTGGATAAATGACCAATTTGCCCACAACGAAATCACTTTCCCAATGTAGGTCGAGTGTAGGCATTGAGAGTTCGTTTTGTGGGTTGGTCGGTAGGTTTTTGATCCTCAAGATTCTTGCCCTTTGAGTTAGAAATAGTACCCGAAGTAGCCTTATCCAAGAAAGTTCCTTTTCTTGCAGAACTGGCTTGGTTATCACCTAATTGCCGTCGCTGATATTGGTTTTTGAGCCGATTTGCTTGTTGTTCTTCCACTGTGATGGCCGTGGCGATTGCTTCATCTAGATACCCAATAGGCTGTAATTGTAGTTTTTCTTTAATATCAGCTTGAAGACCACTAACAGACCGAGCCACTTGGTATTGATCCGATTCACCAAGATTTGTGCGTGCCCCCAATCTATGGAACTCCTCGGTATAATCAGCTATCGAACGAGTACCTTATTTACAATTTTGGTACTGATTGTAGAGGACTTGCTCAAAATTGATGGGTAAAAATCTAGCTCGCATTAGTTTTTTTCATCTTCTCCCAAGTATGAATAGGGGTCTTACCAAAGCGATGCCGACTTGTTTCCATCTGCTCCCACCAAGCTGACGCTCCGCTCTTCATCTTAAGAGCCACCAACTCTACTTTCTTGTGATCCCGAGTTGACATATATTCGAAGAAGCTTTCAACATTCTTGATCCATTCAAGAAAGCCTTAATGTCTAACTTTCCATCAAAATGAGGGAGATCGACCTTCATCTTGTAATCATTTGGCTCTCAATGATGATGTTGATTACAAAGTTGCTGTCTTCGGCCATCACCCCAATGCTGCAAGTCCTCCTCGTCACTGGACGAATCCTTGGGAAGTTGGTGCCGCCGAGGGAAGCGATCATGTCGACGATGAGCACGATGATCCCGCTGCCCAAAATGGTGTCGTGGGGGAGCAAAAAGATGTTCTTGATAATCTCTAGGTGCCCTGGGATAGACTTCTTGGTGAAGGGTTAGAGGAACGTCAGAATGTCTTCGAGGAAGAGGGAGGGATTCTTGACGAGGGAGGAGATCTTGAATCAATCTTGAAGTTGGTTGCTGTGTCTCTTTCCCAATGAATCCCTTGCTCTTGAATGTCCTTACCATTATTCTTTCTTGGATGTTCTTGCTGTACTTGTAGGTTGTCAATCTTGTCACCAAAACGTTCAGAATCTGTTTAATCTCTACCACATTCCGCTGTCAATTCTCTACAGCTCCTTCAACCATCAATAAACGAATGGTTGATGCTCGTGGAGAGAGGGCAGCAGTAGTTTCCGCCTCTTTGTCGGCAAGTGAAGAATCTCCTCCTAACGGAGCATTCTTTCTTCCTGCCATTGAGAAAAGCCCAAGGATGCTGGACGCTCTGATACCAAAATTGGTGTAACCGAATTTGAGAGAAAACTAAATTGTATTAGATGCTGCCAAAAGGTACAAATGACTCCTTATTTATAGAGGAAGCCACGGAACAGAAGGGAACAACCTAACTTACAAATACAACTAACTAACAACTAACTTAACACAAAGTTAACTATTTGTTAACTACATCAATTAATCCCAAAAATATAATCATTACAAAAAGAATTATGTATTTCTTTCTTTCTTTTCCCTTTCATTCTTGTTCATACTTGTAGTTAATCACAGCGAATTATGAACTGTATTATGGTCTTTCATTTTTCCTTTGTGATCGCTTCTCAAGGTATTCTAGCAAAATGTTGTACTTCTGTTTCTTACATGGCAGTGTGTGAAAATGAGAATTAATTTGGCTAGCTATGACATATGCCTTTCTTTTGTTTCTGGCCCTGCCCCCTCTAATGTTCCTTATAGCCATTTGATACCCAAATGATTTAGCAGTGGAAAATTGGCACTGGCAGGGTGGTTCTCCATTGTGGATTTACATGGATGCATTTGTGGTAAATAGTCATCCGTTAACATTTTTCATGGAATTGATTCCTTTATCTACTTGTTGTTCTGTGCTTAATAGCTCTACCTTTAGTGTTGCCTCTGGAGACTTCAGATTTTCTATTAGAATGAAACCACCATCTACCTGAAATACAATTACAACTTTAGTGGTGGGGAGGAAGTGTCATATGAAATAACAGATCAGAGATTGAGTGCAGCAAAAGGAGAAGTATTTAACCGTTCTTCCCCAATAATTATTACTTTATTTCTGTTAAATATTGCACTTATTCTGTTCTTCATATTCAGCATTTACCCAGATTCTTTCATCCTTTTTGTCTCCAGTGGTGTTGTCATTTTTCCCCGGTAAGTATATGTGATATTGATTATATGGAATTAAAGTTGAAATCAATTTTTATCCTTAATTTTGGTTGTTGGCTCTCTTGTAGGTAATAATTAGACATGAAGCATTTTAGAAAGAAACCACGTTCTATCTGAAATACAACTAAAACTTCAGTGGAGGGAAAAAGAGTGTTAGATTGCAAGATCAAAGATTGAGTGCAGCAAAAATAAAAGCAGTTAACAGGTTTTCTTTTCACAGTAATTACTTTGTTCTATCAGTTTAATATTGCACTTCTTCTGTTCTTCATGTTCATCATTTATCTGGGATTCTAGATTCATCCTTTTTGTATCGAGTATATTATTTCTCCTCTGTAGATATACGATAATGTGTATGACTAAGGGTATGTTTGGGAGTGATTTTAGCATGACCAAAATCATTTTTGCCTTTTTCAAAATCACTCCCCTTTCCATTGATCATTTTTGGCAAATTAGAAAATTGATTTTAGGAAAGCTTAACATCACTTTTAATTGATTCTTAAGGTGTCACTTTGATCATGATTTTGAAAAATCAATTATATTCACATCTCTTTTTTTTTTCAAAATCCACTACAAGAATTTATTGCTTTCCCAATGAAATTTTTCTCATCATTAAAAAGTCGTCAGAGGTCGTTTTCTCCCAACGAAAATAAAATAAAATTGTAGGGACAATTATAAGTTTTGTCGACGTTTCTATAAAAATGTTACGAAAAAGTCTATATTTGCCTACGTTTTGTACAGAATGTCGCCAAAAATTTGATTTCTTCCGACGTTAAAACGTTGGGAATATGGGCATATAAATTCAAACACATAAATGTTACACACTAAATATTTCGACGTTTTAATAAAAACGTGGAAGAAGGGATCTTTGCCCCCACATATTTACAAAAACTTTGGGAGAAGATCACTCATCCGTTTTATTATCCTGATATATATATGTTATTTCTTATGACGTTTTGCAACAAATGTTGGGATATGAGTTTATAAGTTCAAACATACCAAAATTATGCACTAAATATTCCGACGTTTTAATAAAAGCGTAGGGCAAAGATCCCTTATTGGGTGAAGGTCACTTATCCCCACATTTTACTAAAAACGTTGATAGAATTAATCTTGTCCCGATCTTTTTGTAAAAACGCTGGGATAACATAAAACATCCAAACGTTTTATTAAAAATGTTGTGATAAGTAATTTTATCCGAACGTTTTTTATAAAAACATTGGGGGTATTACTTTTAAAATAAATTTGAAATTTAAAGTATTTTAAAAATTAATTTTAAAAATAGTAATATTTTAAAAAACAAAACTTTGAAAATAGCTGTCACACTCGTCAAATTTGTGAATACTTATTATAACAAGACTTACCCATGGTTTGATTGGTAATCTATTAGCATTTTTTAATTACATTTTTAATTGTTTTAAGATTTATTTTTTTAATGTACCAATTTATTAATTAATTTTTTTTTATAAATAGAAAATATTAGGTTGTGTGAACTATAAAAATATATAAAAATATTGTTTTATTATTAATAATTTGTTTGATAATTATTTTATTTTTTATTTACACTTTCTTAAAATTAATCTTATAACTATTATGGTTAACAAATTTTCAAAAACATTTTTTTAAACCAAAGCTAAATTAAAAAAAATGAAAAAAGTAATTTTTAAAAACTTATTTTTATTTCTAAAATTTGACTAAAAATTCAAATGTATTAAAAAGAAAAGTGAAAAACATAATAAAAAATTTTTTAGAAAACCAGCCAAATTTTAAAAAAATATATAATAGAAAAATAAAATAGTTTTCAAACTGGTTAAATAATTTGTTTTAGAATTCCAAAAATATAAAACTAATCAGGTGATCTCTCTTTTTCAATTTTTATATCTTCCACACTTTATTATTTATTTAATAATAATAATAATAATTATTATTATTACAATTGAAACACGGTGGTTTTCAGCACAATCTTATTATGTTTAAACAAATTTCAATCCGCGCCTCCACCCGTCGATTTTTCCCTCGCTTCCTTCATCCCACTGTGGTCGCTCCCTACCGCCGTCGCCGCCGCCGCCGCATCCCGCTGAAACCACTGCCGCCGCCGCCGCATCGTTTCTGGAGGTCTCAGAGTCTCTGCAACGTTGCTCACCGTCCTCAGCCTCTTCGAACTTCTTTTCCTTCTTCCAAGGTATGCCGAACACTCTGCTCTTTCCAATCTCTTATAATTTTCTTATAATTCTTCAAAATGTTTGCTTCACTGGTGGCTCAATTTTCATGTTGAAGTTAGAAATTATTTGTAAATGTCGATTTTGGTGGTGAAAGATGTGAGTTTTGGGATTCGGCATTGAAACTTTTCTTCTGTATTTCTTCTGCTTGGCTATTCTATTGTG